AACAAGAAGCTTTTGAGTATGTATTTGAAGATACTAGAAACAAGGGCATCGCTACTAGTAGCAAGAAGCTACTAGGTGGAGGCCATTGCAATTAGGTTGGAGGCCATCGCGGACTCAATACCCAAGTGGTGATCGTTAAACTTTAATCAACAGAAGTTGGCCAAGTGCTAGTGTTTGGGATGTGGGGTGTGATCCAGGAGTTCTGAGGATAGATGTTTGGTGTCTCCAATGGTGCAGGACAATAGGATAGTGATCCCCTCAATATTTGTCAACCACACCAACAATCGAGCACTCGCCTTCAACAAACAGCCCCCAGCTAGTGTCAAAAGTCAATGAGTTGGCAACTTACCTGGCAATGCACCCATACGGCTGTGGGTCAAAATGAAAGTACCCACACATACTTCTCCCACATGCCCCTGCCCCTACCCATCTTTCTTTGCGCCGAAAGCACGCCCAGCACGGCGAAGGATCTCCAAATCTTGAAATCTGGAAACCATCTGCAGGCGCTTCAGACTTCGGCGATCGGCAAACCGCACATGGCAGACCAAACACAACACATAGGACCATCTTTGATAGATCTGAGTGTCAGTGTGTGCCACTAGAGGCACCAGGAAAAGAACAGTTTTGATAGGCTTGACAGGTCTCAGGATTTGGTGGAAGCGATTGAGGGAAGGCGCCAAAATACAAACGGGTCAACAAATTTCATAAGCAACGCATTAAAGCTTGTGTCTTCAACTCAAGTGAATTCCACCCGCAAGTAACACACACATATATATATATAATTACAGTGAAACAAATCAGGGGAAAAACCATGGGGGAAGGAGCTTGAACATGAGCTCCTTATAGGACCCTACAGAGCGGTGCGGTGCTTCCCTGTCATTTATGAAGGATTAGACACAACATGCCATATTGGTGTCAGAATCACATGCAGAATCTTCTGCTTTTGTCTATTCGATGCTGCCAAACTCATCGAGTTTTCTTTGGCTTACTCAGCTGTCAGCTTGGCGCCATTTTGTTGCACCATCAAACAACAAACTACCTTGGTCTCACAAACGAGTGAACATGAGTGAACCCCGGTCTGCTTCCTTGGCCTCACTTCGCTTGGCGAGCTGAGAACGGTCGCCTCATAGATGGACGCTGCCAGGGGCCACCCGTTGTGAGGATGACGCCACCCGCGACCCCTCCCGTTGTGCGCCTCCACTCAAGGAAAAGCTCCAAACAGCTAAATAGAACTGCTGCATTGAACCTGGCGGAATGAAACTCAGCTGCTTTCTCAGTCTCCAGATTGGTTCGTGTCTCCCCAGCCTGAAGCCCTGAAAAAGCACATAAAACATGTGACTGTAGACGGTAGCTATGACAGCAGCTATGACACATAGTGACCAATCTGTCTCTGACTCTCTCATGACTATATTAGATGCAGCCCGGCGGTATGTTAGGATATATAGGATTGCCATGGCAAGTCGTACAGTACCTGCCAGAGAGATCCGCTTGCCTTCTCTTTTCATTAGTGAAGTATCTGGCTACAAGGAGACATAAGGACACACGACCAGTCGAGTCAAACAAAAAAAACATATCTGCACAAATATAAATGATATGACCTGGAGATAGCCGTTGTGCAAAACAAAGAGACTCCCGCAAAAACACCTTCTCACCAGTGAATGGACAAACACATGAAACGAACGGGGTCGACCAGTTCAGTTGAGTTCGCAGATCTGGTGTCCAATATCCAATCCCAAGTATACACACCTATCTCTATGCTATATCATTATGATAGGCTTGAAAAAGTTCTACAGAATATGTATATATATATATACAGTACATGTATTATATACAGTATTTAGTTATATTTAAATATATATATTTTATATGTCTGTAGACAAAAATCCGCTGATCTGGGTTCCTGTCCTTTCCAAGACCCAGCTGGGGCATCCCGACGCAGGGAACATGGGGAAAAACAGCGAGATACCTGCGATTCGGAGACGCACATGTTGGAGTTGTCTTGTCTGCTTTTCAAGGGAATTGCAAAATGCAAACACAAACGAGGGATTGATTTGGTCAACGAAGTACTTAGTGGTGGGAATTGATTCAACTGGTTGATTTTCAGGGAGGAGTTCCCTAAGTGAGAGTCAATGAGTCTGAGCACGAACGTCCAAGCAGAAACTAGTCTCAGAAAGCTTCAGCTACCTCTCGCATGTTTGAAAGTCCATTGCTGGACGAAAAAGTCCTGTAATCCGCCATGAGTCTCTCATTCTACTCACTCGGCTTCGACTGCTAACAAGTGGCTCGTGATGTAGTCTGGCGGGAGCACTGTGGCTTCCATCCAGAAGGACTGACAGCAGGTGAGAGATTGATTGGTCACATCTGCACGAACATTGGGATTGGCCAAGCGCAACCATTTTGTGAATCTTCAAACAGGCCAACACAAGTTTGTGTAGAAGAAGTAGGTTGCCTGACAGCTGCTGCCTTTGACAGGACAATGACGCAATCGACGCTCTCGTATACTGTATATAGATTCCTCTATATGGATTGCTGCGGCCGAGTCAAGAATCTGAAACGGCCAAGTGAAGAAGCTGGTGTTGTCTGGGCTCACACAGACCGGTCGATACTAAGGCCATGGCATGAAAGTACAAGATGCCTTGGCTGCAAAAATTCTTGGCTTTGAACCCCTAGGCCCTGGGCCGCCCTAGTCCCCAAACGATGATAACGATGTGAAGCTCTTCATATTTGGGAACTCACAAGCACTAGTGACTAGTGCATCTTTGTGTTTCAGAATTATTCTCCGTACACACCTATCACACATAGCATAGGAGAATGGTTGACGCAGTGAAATAACCCAATGGGATCTTGTGACAAATGCCCCCAAAACTGTGATAAATATGCAATGTCCTTGGACCTGCGAGTTGATTGTCTTGACCATGTGTTTAGTATAACTCACACACCAATGGAAAGCAACAACAGGCAGGACCTCCTTTCTGGTGACAATCTTGAGGACTGCGTAAAGCAACGTCATGTTCGAACATGAAACCAAGTTGTCTGAGCATGTAAAGAAAAAACATTGCACATGGTTGACATGCATATGTGATGAATTGGCAGGTTCAAGTGCTAGCTCGTTCCTCGTCGGGTCGGGAGAACTGTGTTACGACATCATCAGGGACTGACGGCAGCGACGGAGTTTACATCTTGAGACAAACCTATCCCCTTCAAGCTCAAGGGGTCTTGTCTATTTCAAACATGCGTTTTAAGATATTGAATTACATTGACTTGAGTGTCAGCATCTAGGCACTTAGGTGATTCTTACGCTGCCTAGAGGCATGACGTTGTCAACATTTGGAGCCCGTGCCTTTGTTTTGCGGCAAACCACTGAGAAGGAATGTTGTGTTGCACAGCTAGCAACGTGCAAGTAGCTCATACCCAAAACACGGACATGTAAGGTCTGCAACTCTATGTGCCGAGGAGGAAAAAAGTGGAGGTACTACCGGAACAAGAATACTATATCTAGGATGCCACTAGAATTTCAACAAAAAAGCACTATCTACCTACCTGCCCACCTACCCTCCAACCTACCAAACGGGTCATCATCCGCCCATCGAGGTGCACGAAAAGAAGACCAAAATAGACCACGGCCCCACAGAGTCTGCGCCATCCAAATCGAGCATCCTCGCGCCAGAGAAATCAACACTGCACTGCGCGATCGGATGAGAACATCATACCGTGCCGTTTCAAAGAGGATAAACAATGTTCAAAATAAGTTCCAAGGGTCAGTACTGTTCTATCAGTCTATCTACTTTTAGGTACCTATATAATATAGTAATATCTAGTAAATACAATTTAAGTAATATATATATATATATTAATTATATATATATATATTAATTGAATATTAGATGTATGTATATAATGATGGTGTATAATTACAATTATATACAGGATTATAGAGGTCTTGTGACGTCTGTGAGGACGCCATCCCACCAAAGGCAGGGGCGACCTACCTCACCCTATTTAGCGTTTACATGCGTTTACAAAGGACAAATGGCGGCATACTTCACCCCACAATCCTATAGACCGTATACCATCGAACTACGTCTCAGTGGAGCTGAGACTCTTCTTCTGTATATACTTTGGAATATCTATATAGCTGAAACGATACCATGTCACCCACTTCTCTCCACAGCTTCCCTCCACCGGCCCTCGGTCCAAAGACAGGTCTCGCTCAAGGCGAAGCCTGCATGCAGCCTGGGCAAGTCTTAGAGCATCACCTAATCTCCCCACCAAACAGCTTAAGGTTGTATGCCAAAACAGGCGGAAAGCTGCAAGCCTTAGCTCCCGCTTAAAGGATTCATTGGACCACAATCAGAATCTATTGAGTGGGAGAGGTGTTGGGGAAGTGTTCGGTCTCTTATGCAACATATCTTCTGACCAATGAGCCAAGTCCTTTTCCCAAGTTTCAGAAGGGGGTATGGGCTTTCGTATAATCCTCAACTTGCGGGGGTGCTGAGGGGTCTTTGGCGCCTCTCGGCAGGTTCTTTTGTTTAGGGGAAGGAATGAGTTTTGATCCAACATCATTGAGCAACTCTGTCAAAGCAACAGTGAAACAAAGCTCCAGCGGCAAACTCCCTGAATTCCAATCCCCCCAAAAGCCATCTGAACTAGGGACCCAGGGACCCTTCAGTCCAGCATGTGGGAACACAATCAAACTGGACTTATGGAAGCTAATTTATTAAGTTGTTTCATGTTGTTTCCCTCCTTTCACTGGGCTTGTCTGCCGAGTCTGAAAGAACCCCAAGCAGAGCTCACAGTCTCAGACAAAGGCCCTATATAGAGATCATACAAATCTTAGCTAGTGGAGGGTCAAATGTGATCCCTATGTTAGATGGTGGCCCCTCTATTGTCATATCAGATGGTGGCCCAAAAAAAACTAACCATAGAATGGGGTGACCCAAACCATGGCGCATCATGGCGCCTAAACCTTCGTCCCACCGTGCGCGAGCGCGCCGAGGAGCCCGAAGATGGCGCAAAGCACCAGAAGCCCTGTCTGGTTGGCGTAGTCCGTCAAAAAGAGAACGCCAACCAGGTGGACCTAGGGGAGCGCGGCTTCTAGGCGCGAGAGTTCGAATTGGAGGACCAACATCTGTCGTCTCCCATCAACCAAATGGATACCAAATGGTTGGAAGCCGGGGCTGATTCTTTCCTGACTCAAACCCAAGTGACCCTTTAATACCTTTTACAGAGTGACCTCAAACTCAAAGTATCACCTCACTGACCCCCAGCACCTTCGCAAATTATCGCAAATTCCTCATGCCCCCCCAGCACCTTTCGCCAGGTTCTTTTTCATCAAATGAGCCAAAAAGGTGAACCGCTTCACGGTCTAAAGCGCAAGAAAGGGATGGGACTCAGGTGGATGGATGGTCTGGGCCTTGGGGTCTTCCTCAGTTAACCCATAGACCAGGGGCCTCCGTTTTCAAGCAAGTGGTGGCTGGTCACCTGGTCGGGGCGGGTCTCCGACGTTCGACTGGGTGATCTGGATCCTGTCCCACCACTGCGCTCGCATCACGGAACGCGTTGCGCGGTACTTCGCTTGCGGATCATGGGGAGGTTCAAACAGAACAAGAGCGGGTGAAGGAGCCGGTTCCGTGCACCAAATGACCTGAACAAATCAGAAGAGTCAAGAAAGTTCTGCTAATTACTTAAAGTATCTTGTTAAAGTAGTGCATGTCCGACAAAGTAACTTTTGATCCATATGTTTAACTTGGCTGGTGACAAAGTGGTGCAATCTGCGAGTGGTTGACCTCGAAGACCGGCATGTTGCTGTCTTCCGGACTTCTATGTGCATTGGCAAACCATCTGCGGTCTAATGACCCTAGGGCTAGTCCTAGGGCTCCTGGTCGTAGTCCGGTTGGATTGTTACCGACAACTCCAAGTCCATGCGAGGCTCTGGGACTCCACGCCAAGAGGAAGGACCAAATAAACCAGGTCGCAGGAAACAAGTCCGCCTGAAGGCACAAACGTAAACGGGAGAAGTCTTGCTGCTGCAGAAATTAGTTCGGTCTTCTCAAAGCTGCTCAGGGGAGTTGCTTTTGGCTCTTTCTTGTGCTGACAACTCACTGCTACTGTTTCGCTGCTTTGGCAACAACTGAAGTTGTTTGCAGCGGCAACATGTGTGTGTATCGGGAGACAAGGAAAACCACTCTGTTAACTTGGGTCACTGAGACTTCCGCTCTGAGATGCCAAGTTGCAGAAGTCGCCCTCCCCAAGCCCCTCTCTCTCTCTCTCTCGCGCCTGTGAGGCGACGATCCCACAAAGGAAAGCGCCCACAGCTACCCTGGGCGCGGGAAGCCGTGGAAAAAGCCGTGACCGAGCAGCGTACACTGTCGTGCATCGTTGGGTGAAGTCACGTTTCGAAAAAACATGTAGCTGAGTAGCTGTAGAATGTTACAGTTCTAAATGTAAGACCTTGGTTTCCCTTGCAATGAATGGAGGCAATGCAGCTTTCACATGTATATAAGATGTTGCATTTGCATCTGGATGTCTGTTTATTTCCAGGCCTGAGTTCCAAAGTGCGCCCAAACGTATGAAGATTCTTGCCGATGCTTGCCCAACAAACAATCAGAGTGCTCCCAAACCTTCCATGCTATCAAAGCCCAGCTGTGGGTCCACCGGCGCATTTTGGGTCAAAACCAGGTCAAATGAACAAATCCCTTAGACAGGTTGGGATGGAGCTGTCCCTCCCATGGTGAGATAGGTGATGTCAACCTCCCAAAAAATGGACTAGTAACAAGGACATCAATACTAGTAACAAGGGCATTTCTACTAGCAGCTAGAGGCTACTAGTAGCAAGGTGCCTTACTACTAGTAGCTTGTTACTACTAGTAAGGCACCTTGCTACTAGTACTCCTTGGCTTTGGCAATCCTCCGCGTTTGTCCCTCCACTGTCATGTTCGACTCGGCAGACTTCGACAGTCTCTGCCGGGAAAGGAATTCACCCACAAAGAGAAGAATGCTACTAGTAGCAATGCCAGGAGCGCCCCGTTCGTAGCTTCTTGCTCGGAACCGCCCTTTGTTCCTAGTAGCAAGAATACGACTCCTTAAGCAAATTCAGGGTAATCAGCTTCCAGCTACTAGTAGCGATGACCTTGTTCCTAGTAGCGATGCACCTTGCTACTAGTAGTTCCTTGTTACATCATCTTATAAGCAAAATCAGAAAAAGTCCTACCCAAAGATATACAGTACAAGCTCATCTTGTGTGCCTTTTAATACTGTTGCATGGAGCTTAACGGTGACAATAGAAAATGCAACATAAAGCAACAAAATTGCCAAAAGTTGAAGAAAGCACTTTCATTACTGCTGTCCCCCGATTTAAACGAATCAGGTGTAAGAATCATCTTTCGTGGTGTAGAGGCCTGAGAGCTTCTTTTCCTCTGACGGGATCCGGATACTCGTGCTGGTCTGTGTACCTGGCGCAGTTCCCTCCACCCCGGCGTCCCTGGTTTGGATGGCAAGGCGGCAAGGCCCGACCGACGGTTCCACCGCAAATTCCCAGGACCGAAAGGCATGTCGAAATCCACTTCCATGATGAAACTTGATTTCCCTATGTCCAGTTTGCACTTCCCTATAAATATATTATACAATTTGGTATATCGAATAACAAACAAAGCCAGCAAATTACAAAGCGAAACAGACCCAACAATCTCCGACAATGACATTTGCCAATTGTTCTCGACATGGTCGTGTCATAGAAAGAACGGCCTGTTGGCCATAGAGTTTGGTGTTGTCCTTCACACAGAACAACAAACCCTATGGCCGGTATGGTGTTTCCTTGTTGGCCTTGCTGTCTCCTAATTGTTCTTTTCAACAGGGCAACAAGGACACATCTCCATCTCCAGCACCCGACTGGCTTCCTCTACTGGCGGTCGCAACCGGTGGCGCAAGCTGCACGTTTCGAACCCGGTATCGACCCGTACGGCGCGCATCTGCTTCGGAGAGGTCCGTGGCCAGGAATTCACGGGCCTGGAGACGGAGGTGAGATTCAAGGGCCACCCGGAAGAACAAAAGGACAAATTCTTCATGGGACACATGTGTTTTTCATTGTTTTTCCTTTTTTTATCTTTTCCATGTTCAATGTTTTTCTCCCCCTGTCCTCTGGTTGCTGATAGGAATCCATCTTTTCGAACTGAGGGGCTTTGGCCTTGGATTTGTCCTGTGAAGAACTAAGTGACGACCATCTGAGGCGATCGATGAAGGGTCATATTTCAGCATGAACCAATTGGTCACGTCTTGTGTGAACTGGAGAAGGTGGTGGTCTTTCTGAAGTTTCTGAACCCTCCTGTTTCCAGCTTCCAACCAGGAGGTCAATGACTTAGGAACTGCAAACTTCCTGTAATAGCAACATCTAGACTGTGCAGCTAGGCACAATTGGGTTGAGCAGTTCAAACCTTTGCAGTGATGCTGCACCCGAAGGATGTGAAAAAAGTGGAGCTGAGCCGATGCAGGGGTTCTGCACGTTCGGCTGGCAATCACTGCATACGATTGAATTGATGAATTCTGTTCGGGACCAAGACACATTCATAGATGGTGTTCCGTAGAGAAGGCCTTTTGGTATAGAAGAAAGATCTTTCAATCAAAGAGGCTTGGGAAGGGACACATGCGGGCAATGATGATACTTGCATGAAAGAACAAAGACTTGGATAACAAAAATAACATGTCCATGAAGACTTTTTCTCTGCAAGGCTTCTTGAAAAGGTAGCTCCTTGGAAGGTGTGCACACATGTGTGCACATTAACATCATTAACACGCAGGGTGCATCCTTCTTCTCTCACAAAAGAACCACGGTGCGACACGACCACCGCGTGGTGTGTGCATCGTGCGCATCACAACGAGGACACTGTGACACCGCGTGCGAATGTCTCGTGCGAACTCTTCGTGCGAACTCGTAACTCGGCCTCTCCGGCAGGGTGGGGGGCAGCGACGGCTTCAGCAACATCTCTCTCGTCTCTCGGACCTCTTTGGGCTCCACCTGTCGTGCACGTCCGTGCATGTCCGTGGACGAGCGGTGGCAAGGTCTTGACTCGGTGGTGAAGAGGCAGAGTGTGGAGGGCTTGCAGTCCCAAGGTCTGGCTTCACGGGATCATATGATGATCATGGTAATCTATGGGTCGTTCCAGGCTGTATACTGGTAGCTTCAGGAGTTAGAGGTGGGTAGGACTCCTGAAGCGGGATATCCTACCTGTGAGAGATTGCAGAGCCAGCTCGGATCGCTGGAGAGAGCTTTCTATGATGTTCCATGAAATCGCCTCTCAAGCTACAACATGATCTATAGTTTAATATAATATATATATATATTAGGTACTTAACATGATACATGAAATGAGAAGCGAAAAGCCTTCCTCGGAAATACTCGCTCAAGCTTCCAATCGCGTCGGCTGCCGGCGTGGCAGACCTCTCAAGATGATCTGGCACAAAAAACATCAAACGGCAAAGCCGCTGCTTCCCGTGTCTGCCACACTGCCTTCATCTGCCTTCCATAACCCCCTGGAGGCCTCCAAAGAACTTATGTGGCTGTGGGTCAAAACCTGGGGTACCTTGCTTGACCACGGAAGAATGAACAGAATTGCATACCAGGCAGGTCAACCCAAGAAGGTTTAGAGCTCCAGGTTTAGAGCTCCACAGCCATCTACTCATGGCTTCAATATAGCATGGTCTAGCCGTTTTTTCTCTGGAGAAAAGATTGGTCAACGCTCCGGGAGGGGTCCCAGTTCTGGGCGAGAACACCATCGCCCAATCCGCCCCACCTTTGCTTCAGCCACCGGCTTCTCCCTGACGCGAACACATCCGAAAGCATCGAAACCGCTGTTCCGAGGCCCGTTTCGTTCTCAGTTCCGTTCCGTTCCGTGCCGCGTCTCGTCCGGATCCGGCGTCGAGAACGGGAGAACGGGAGACGAGCCTGAACTCCGAAAGAAATCTGAAATCTCAAGGCTTCTTCTGGGACCGGGCTTGTAGGGCTGTGACTCATGACATGCTTGTGAAACAGCGTCGTCCGTTGGGCAGTTCTCTCTGTGACTGTCACGCGACACAGGCTTTTTCGCGACACAGACACCTCCGCGACGAGCGACCGGATGCGACGAGCGGGGTTTGTGGTGGAGACGCAACAACGGCGAAACCAACCGGTGGCCAACCAGCTAGCCAAACAACCGAACAAACAAACGACAAAGAAGCAACTGCATGTGGTGAAAACACGGGTCTCTGGATGATTATCTTATGATTCATTTGAGTGACTGGTGCTGCTGAAAGCACTTGATAGAGACGTCATACATGTCTCCACACTCCGCACGACTATCAAACAAACATACTGTGCGCGGTATGCAGTGATATGGAGTGATGCACGGAACGCAACTTGTAAAATCTAATCATCCCCATTTGGGAGGCACTTTTCCTGGAAAACGCGCGTTCCATGTCAACGCACCAAACCAAAACCGAAACCGACCAGTAGAATCGCCGTTTCCACCGCCACACCTTTGCCGTTTGGGCGGCAGCGGATGGTGCTGCTCCTGGGCGTTTCACGTGCGAGTGGACTCCCACGGCGTTTTGATCTGGAGACATCGTCGGTCAACCGAACGAATTATTTCCAACTTAGTATAACAGCCGCCAACTTCGGTCGCACCGCCCTTTTCTGGAAGCAAAGATCATCGTACGCGTGAGTACGTACGACCGTCATCGACCGTGTACAGTCCAAAAAAAACACGCTGCTTCACCTGTTCATGTTTCACGGATGCTCTCTTGCTTTCGGCTCGTCGTTTTTTCGTCCGATCCTCCAACTCAGGGGAGGGAACCGGTGAGTCGTCTTCCCAGCCACACCAGAAACAGCACAGTGGCGAATCCACTGTCTTTCAAGAACCGCGAGACCGAGACCAACTCGCCTTTTGGCAAAGAAAACGTTGACTTTCAGGGTGTCTTCTTTCTACTGACAGTGGTAATATATGTATTATATATATAATATATATCTGTTGGGTATATCCCATTGCCAGGGCCCAGTGGATGATGATAGGTAGGGTAGAAGCTCAGAGCAAGAATAGCTCCGCACCCACGCTTGGCGAGTCTTGCTGAGTTTGAGCTTGTGGAGATGCGGCGGCTGAGGCGGATGGCCCAGTCGTTGGGGGTTGATGCCAAGAGGATGATCGATAAAATCGCAAAGGTTTCAGGTGAATCATGGTCATTGCAGGCAAGCGTACTAGAATGCCATCAGCAGTGACTGGCGCCAAGATGCCTCCAATTGACCCAAGAGTAAACATAAAAGCAGCCGCACTCATCGCTCTTGCTGCTCTTCATCTGGCAAAATTTCCTTGGATTGTTTGTTCAACTCCTGCTGCACAAGCTGAAACAAGTCTTTCAGGCTGACCGGCTGACCGCCTCCTGCATTGTTTAGTATTATGTTTATCATCATCAAGTCTTTCCAAAAGCAAACGACTGCCATGTCATGCCAGCCAACACGATCCATCACGCAAGCCTCAAAATTCAGATCCGCTCGTCTCAGCCTCTGGAAACTGAGAGCTTTAGGCTGTGAACAAAAAACCGCTTCACCCTCCGAAAGTTAATGAAGACACATCTCCGCATGGTTTTGGATTGTCTCCAGCCTTGTATCCTCACTTTGCTCTTTGCTCCCACAGATTTTCCGCACCAGGAGGTACACCACTGAGCCACTTGTAGAGGCTGGCCAAATCAACGTACTTTTCATATCTTTCATCCACACTTGGTTCACAAGTCCTTCGAACGTAAAAATTGTCAGATCGCAAGTTCTGTGCTTGTTGACCAATGTGTCAATGTCAATGAGGTTAATATCAGCCAGTAGTTTCGCTATGTTTCGCTTCAAGAGCTTCTTGAAACTGCTTTTCTTCGAGAATTGCTTCCAGGAACTGAATGAACTTCTTGACTTCTTGCAGCTCACGATGGGTCACAAAGTAGATCAGGTCAATGATCTCTGCAGGCTCAGCCGGTTTCACGGAGCTCCAAGTTGTGGGGCCTCTGGCGGAGGAATGGGACATACAGTAGGCTGATCAGCGTGACCTTGGATAGGTGGGTCTCATCCCGATATATGATGGATTGTAAAGCGCCACAAGCATATATGATATATTATAATATCTATGAATCCATTCCCTTTTAAAAAGTAACCAAGGAGTCCGCCAGCCATCTTGATCCATGAACAAGGTGGACAACGTGTTTTAAGTATGTGGAATTTCAAGCAGCTATGACGCTGTGACGCCATATACAGCCCACAAACGCCGGCCGATGCCTATAAATTCCCTGCATTTGGAGGGATTCCATGTCAATGTGTCCATGGGTTGTCCAGAAACAACTCCTCTGATGCAATCCAGGTGACAAAACTCATCAAAACTCACACTTGGCAACTTGGCACCATGACAGGAATGAGGCTGCTCTGGCTTGCACTGCCATCTTCAACACAATGTTCAAAGAACCCCTGCCAGCTCCATGGAATAACCCTCTGCCAGCTCCATGGAATAACACTTCATGGAGCGAGTAAAGTGCCATGCAACGAGTCTCGTCATCATCCGAGCGAATCTCGGCATGAGACATTTCAGTTTAAAAAACCACCACGTCTCGTCCTCCCCTGCTCCATGTTGGCTACACATCTTCCAAAAAACGCGAAAGCACAAAACAACAATGCAGGATGAATACACAAACACACTTGAAACATCTTGAAACTACGCCTGCACGCACGGCACTTGGGATGAAAGCTGTGCTACCCTGGATTTCAATCGGAGCATGAAGAGATATTGCTGCACGTTGAATGTCGCACGACATGGTCAGCCACGCTCCACACGGGGCGTTCAACGCTCCCCAGGGTCACGTTGCTCCAGGCGTCAAAGCTGGAGCCGTGAACAGCCGCACATCCATCCGGTCCATCCGGTCCCTTTCCTTTAACAAACCACCCAACTCGTCCTCTTAGCACAGAATTCCAACATATTCCAACCACTGATTGATGTAGAAATGAAGTGGAGCCAAACCCTACACTAGAGCTCCTCTTACTGCACTTTCATGGATTCACGCACGTCTCTCCAGAGTTGGGGAGAAAGTAAAAGTAAAAACCTCCAATGTGCTTGAAGACTTCTCCTCTGCCAGGTGTATTCTATATCAGGTCTATTAGACTAGCCCCCTCACCAGATCGCTGGAAACCCGGAACCAGTGAGTCCAGTCTCAAAACATGTCCATAAACCAATGCGTGTCTCCCACTCTTCGTTCCCCACGCATCCTCGTTCCCCACGCACCCACGTCCGCGGTGTGCCCTTGCCCCATCACTTCTGGGAGGCCGCACCCGAGGCAAAGGAGGGGGTCTCAGGCCATCCTCCTCACTGCCTCACCGTTTCTGGGCGCTTGAAGCACTCGAGAGGTCGCAGCTTGGGAGTCGGCGACATGGATCGAAATAGACAGCACTCGATAGAGCGCAAGCGAATTCTCGCATCCCAGTTATAGCGATTGCTTTTAGGAAACAAAGGAATTCACCCCGAGGTCGCAAGTCCCTCATAGGACCTTTTGGAACCAGTGAAGGCTTTGAGGTCCACGTGTTGTAGCTTTTGGAGTGGCTCCTGTGCGTTGCGGGAAAGCAAACACAGCTTATCCATACTTATCCGATCTCTCCACTAGTCATAATTAAGAGTCATGGGATGGCAAATGGGATACTTTTTCGAACCCGTTAAGCTTAGTTAGGTAGAAGTATGTTCCACTCAGTTTGTTGATCCTTGCAAGACACAACAGAAATCATCATACAAATTTATTTAATTAATCAACATGATTAATTTTGTTTGATCATGTTGAATCATGCTTGATCCGTTTCATGACTTCAAGCAACCCCCCTGGAACCTCATCTTCTCATATCTTCTCTCCGCTGTCCTCGTCGACTCCGCAAGGCGACAGCGGAGTCGCAAACCCGCCTGGAGGCTTGGGGCCCATGACGGGCCGAGCAGAGGCTTCGACCTTCACCTTCGCCGCAGCGCCTCACGGGTCTTCACCGTCGCGGAGGCGAAGGAGCTGAAAGCCGTGGAGAAGAGGAGGTTTCAAGGGTTGTTCAGGAAACCGGAGGAAAGGCATGTCCAAAAACGTTGAGGAAAGTAATTACATGGTAATTACAGGTAAATTCTTAGTTGGAGCTGGTGGGCGCCACAACGCTCCCACGTACATGTTTGTTCATATACGTTTTCAATTGTTGATATCATATAATTTTAATGCATGATAAAGTTGTATCTTTTGACATGATGATGATTACAACACGATGAGCTTCAGTGGATGAAGTTTCGGGCGGTACCCGGTTTCTGGATCTAAAAGAGCGATAAGGAACAGATGTGAACTTATAGGAACAGATTGAGTTCGTATGAATTTCTCCACAAAAAATAATCCAACGCCACGTTTCCGCTGGATCGTTGGTGGTCCAAACTGGCAAGTTCTTAGGGGTCGAGGGCCTGAAGCGCCCCTGGCCCATCTCCGTTTCGAAGATGGTTGGAGCCCTAGGGATAAGAAAAATGTGAATCCACATCTTCTCCAGTACATACAGGCGTTTGAATGGAGGTCAAATGCAAACAGGATCTGCGGAATAGCGCCACAGACCTATGCCGTGCTGAGCCGTAGCATGCGCAAATGACTTCGAGATTCACTTCAGCAATTTACGGAGACTGCGTGCGATCAGAATCACGTGAACACTAAATTCCATGGTGCATTGTCTAGGTGTGAAACATGAAAGCAATTGACACGTTATTATCTAAAAGTGGGGCAAATTCGACCCGGGGAAGCCCGTCGACTTCGACTGAATAAGTCCAGGGTTCAGGCTGGATAACCAGTGTCCAGTGTCCTGTGGAGTAGATGGTTTTTCCACAGACTTCGACCTTAGAACTTCTAACCTCTTCATGGAAATCGTGGTACAAACCAATCCCCTCCTCTCAAAAAGGGTTGGGTCAGATCATCCAATCCAGCTTTCCTGGCTGAACACGTCCCCAGCGACCAGTGCGACCCGCCGGTAGCGAGGCGACCGCTCGGACCCCGTGCTGGCAACCGCCGCCGCACGCTGCTTGGCCCGTGCCTGCAGTGGTGGCATAGAAAGCAAAGAAAGAAATGGCCCATACCAGGACCTTCTGTTTGAGGTGTCTATAACTAGCCACCTGTTGGAAGTCAAGTGATGTCCAAAAGCCACCTGTTGGAAGGTCCGGGTTCACAAACTTGGATTCGCCCAGGTAGACTCCGAACAGATGCCTTCAGTCCAATCTAGCAATGTAAGGCTTGAATCAAAAGGTTCAAATTAACTCGGCAAATGCTCTTTATATCGTCACAGAACCAAAGCTATCAAAAAAATAACGCCAAAAAACGTGCTGCACAAGTAGTGATCCTCCACACCTGAGGTGAGTATAGACTATGGCCCAATGGTTCCCCTTGTTTCGGAACACCAAGAATACCACGTCGCTCAAGTTCCGTCCACTGTTGTTTCCTGCTACTTGAAATCCACACGGATTTCATCGGAAAGGGCCACGCACACACATGAGCAAACACGCAAAATGCTGGAGAGACGTTCGTTGGGCCTCATTGGCCAAGTCGATCTCTTTCAACTTTCGGACCAGCTCAGCCTGAGTTGGAGGCCCGTGCAACAAAGTCTGTCTTGGAGTGGACTACCCTCCTGCAGAGAAGCACATGGACCCTCAAATACACTCGGTTGTAGAGGCTTCCATCGGTCAGTTTTCAGGGTCCATATTGGTCTGCACCGGTGTACTAAAAAGAAAATAAGCGCTTTGCTGAAGAGTGTACAAATCAAAAACATTTTTTAGACAATTGCTGTATTGTCATCATCGACAATCATGTTCCAAGTGGTTTTATGAAATCAACGTTTGTTGATAGCTCGTGTTGGGTCAAATCAATCATCGGAGCACTGATGACATGGGATGGGATCCTCATAAGGGCTCCAACGCCTCCAAAAGCACCCATCTGAGTTGCGTGTGTCAAAAATATGACGGGGGGACACATTGTGCATCATTGTGCGGATATGAATATGATGTGATTGTTGACACCAGGTGGCCATTCTTCTCCGGTCACTCTCGCATGAAGACCCGCGAGTTCATATACCGGTATTTCACCTGCGAAAACCCGCCCAGACTGCAGCCGGTTTTCCGCCACCAGCGGGGTTTCCTCATTGGTCCCGGACCAGCATTTTTTTGGTAAAGCGTCTTGTCCTGATGGGCGGATGAAAATGGATCAAGCTTTCTTCACTCCGCACACACACACAAAACATACACAAATAAATTAACACCTTGCTCTGGGTGCAATACCAACCCCCGGACCCCCAATGGTTTGATAATAAGGTTGTTTGACAAAGGCTGTGGATTTCAGAGCGTCAGTTTCCACTTGTCCAAACAGCGGCACCCGACCTCGCCACCCTCTTCTGCGGCCTTCAGCTGTTGAACCACCTTCAGCAAAGGACGGGTCTCCACTGATACTCTATCTATACGTACATGTTGGGGTGGTTGAAAGGTCCATGCAGGTTGCATACATGGAGATACATCGAGTGCTTAGTTGTGCTGCAAAAAAAAGAACCTCCACCCCAGCAAAGCAACATAGATTTCCTAAGCCCATATGGATACAGGTGATTTCCAGGCCGCCAATATGGGTTTGTGAGATGGTGGGTGGATTTTTGAACCTAGCAAGTTGGGATTTTGTTTCATCGCCCTGGAATGCCCTGGATAAAGTACGTAGAGACCCAAGCAAAAAAGAACTATAAGACCTTATCAAACAATAGACTCACAAGTTCCTGGCACATGTTCTAGTCACTTCCCAGAAAAATAAAACAGCGCATGAACACGAGGACGCAACAAATCATGTCAGAGGCTACCATTTGAGCCCATCAGGTTTGGATGATTCAGTCCGCCCCAGATTGCCAAACCCTCAAAGATGGAGCAGCGTTCAATCCTTATACCCTAACTACAACCGACCAAATTCCATGCAGGACGGCTTAATGAAAAAAGGCAATCGGCTATGTGTATGTATCCTTATCGTTCAACGCTTTCTCCTAAGAATGCCAAAAAAACACTTCTTTACGCTGTCTCACTGTTTGAGTCAGTGTCGCCTGCGCTACTGGAGGTGGAGCTGCAACTGCCGGTTTCTGAGTCTTCTAGCTCTGCTTCCTTTCCTGGATGAAGGTTCTTGAGGTAGTCCTGTTTCCTTATCAGCCTCGTTTGCTGATTGCTTATATAATGTTTTCTTGTATCTCTCGAGGCGCTCATCACGTGTCTTGATGTAGAACATTCCAATTCCACGATCGCTCGAAATGTCTTTCTTTCCTCTCACCAATCACCCAAGTCTCATGCTGGAGTTGTCTGAGAATAATACCAAGTCAAAGAATTGTGGGGCGCATCGTGCCCTGTTGGGTGGAGGCCTGGGCACGATCTCCAAGCAGTAATTAGGTTCGAGTGATCATGAGAGAGTTTGCATACAATAACTTTTGCCTTGAACTCAGGAAAATCGATCTTCCGAATCGCCCATGTGTCTCCACTTGCTTTGAAGGAGTGCGCCCGTTGCGCGCCTGCCTGCAAAGCCTTGAGTAGGTCTTTCGCGCGCATTTTGCCACCTAACCGTTCCGCTTTGTTCCTGCAACACCGATCATTTCATCTAGCAGCCCTTCGCCATGTTGTTCACCTATAGGAATTCTACTCGGATCTTCTTTCCACGCTCTGGGCACAGCACTCGTGCGCGCTGAAGAATCTGAGTGAGGTTGAATCCGGAATCTTTGCGTCGCGCAAGCATTCGCTGTAAGTTCGCCATCAACTCATGACCCCGTCCACTTCCACGCGTTGCCCGGTCTGCCAACTGTGAGGTTGCGACAGGCAGATGCTGGCTTGCCAACTTCACACGTCTTGTCCAGCTGAGAAGAGGACGCTGCCCCTTCAGCATTCTCTAGTGCTTGCGGGCAGAAGCTGACGTCGAATGATGGACTCACTCAAGGGGCCCATTTGCGTGCTGAACATGTTCTGAAGAACTGTGAACATGTTCTGCAAAAGTGTGGACCTGTCTTGCCTGGGACCCCTTTGTTGCGTTCTGCTTGTCCTTCGGGTTATCGTCCAGGGGTCATGATGAAAAGTCGAGATTCTGGTGAAACACGGCGAAACGATGTTGGAAAGATCTGGCATGCTGGGCGTCAAGAAGCCTTCAAACGTCTTTTCAACGGCTTGACACATCGTGACGGTCTGTTTGGTGGCTCCCCATAAGCTGCACTGGCCTTTGCAAGCAGCCACCGTTCTGCGCGCACAAAGCCGCAGCCTGGGAATGTAGTTCGTGAGGAGCAGCCATTGAGATTATTCTCAGCAGGAGCACCATGGTGAGCAAGCAGCCCCTGGGAGTCCACACTGAACAGGAGCTAGTGGGCCCAACCCTTAGATAACATCTTCTCCTCAGGTGCTTTGCAGGATCTTCCTTCTGCTGTTCAACCTGAACTTGGGAATCGCTGTCTTGAGGAGCAGCCACTGAGCCAGATGCTTTCGAGAGCTTCGATCAATCCACTGGTTTTCGTGACTTTTTGAGGAGATTCTTCAGGTCATTCACAGAAGAGAAGCCACTATTCTCTGCCTCAATCTTCATCAGCCCCACCTCATCCCTACTGACCCTTGAGGCTATGCGAGCCTTCCGACGCAAGCCTTCTGACTGGCTCAGGGCCCACAAAGAAATGCCACTGCCATACCGATAGTCTTCCCACACCACAAAGGATGACATGGTGCTTGAGCTTGCATTAAATGGTTTCATTGATGCAATGCCAAAGTCAGTTCTTATCATTCACGGGTAAGGGTCAATGAAAGGTGCAAATACTGACAGATACTGGTGTAGATATATAACCATGGTCATCAGCACCAAACATCAAGGTAAGTTATCGTTCAATGCACAGACAGGTTCAGGGAAAAAATGCCACATAGCATGTTTTCACACCAGAAATGCTTGAGGACGGTCTTTTATATCCTTTCTTTAAACATGTTTGGTGCAACTCCTTGTCCCTGTTGAACAAATAAATCTGCCATGACTGCATTGATTCAGCGGCAACAAAACATGGTAATGGGGATGAACTTGGTGGAGGATTTCTGCATCCGAACATATCATCTGATGAATCATTTGCTATCTGATGCAGTTATCATTTATCCATATCATTTCGGCAAGCAACCATCAACACAAAAAGGCGCCCATGCCTGGGCAAGCTGCGCCTCTAGGACGGCACGCTCTGAGACATCCTCCTTGCAGGGGAGGATGGAGGCCTAGGGGTGCGTTGTTTAGTACAGTAACTACCACTTTGAGGACAGTATATATGTTTTTGCTCAGAGACCTCATCCAAGATGAGCATATCATGTCCGCTTTTGCCACCACGTTTGGGAGGCAAAGGAGGAATACATAATTGTCAAAGGGACCAAGATCTTTATATTATGTTTTAACCACCACTTTGTCAACCAAAAACCTAAAAATTGAAGATCTGCCAGTGTCGACCATTTTGGTTCTGGGTTGTTGTACATACATGCTGGGTAAAAATGTGGGGTGAAACCTGGCACAACACGTGGATGATGGGCAGCTTGGTATGCTTACAGTAGCCTTGGTAGTTCGTAATGGTCTGCACCATTCTTTTCATAAAACCTAGTAGCTAGAGTGCTACAAAATGACAGGGATCGAAAATCCGCCCACACCGCTTGTCGGTGCAGGGCGTGCTATTGGGGCTTTTGCCGTCGAGCTTTGCATTTTAGCAAAAACATCTATGCATGTAGCTCTGCTAGGGGGGGACCATTTTTTTTTCGCGCGTGCATGGCCATGGTTGAGCTGCATGCAGGGCCACTGGGGAGAGCGCTTTGGAGGTATATTTGTGGATGATTTTTCATTACGTCGTGCTTGCAGGGCCACTAGGGAACGCGTTTTGGAGGAAATTTTGTGTTTTGGAGTGGTTGCTGCGTTGATTCTTGCTCGGCTGCAGGGCCACTTGGGACAGCGTTTTGGAGGTGTATTTTTGGATGGCTTTTGGCAATGCCGAAGTTGTATCACCATTATGGGCCCCAAGGTAGACGAAGATGGCCCCAATGGTTCCAACGCAGCCGTAAGATAGCCAACCTGGCGCCTAGATAGCTGCACTTGTCCTTCATTTGGAACCAAAATAGTTCGCAGAAGCTCACTTAAAATCGCGGTTCTGCGTTTTAGGATGCTTAAAATTAACAACATGGCCGAACATAATCTGACAGATAGCTTCAACACGATTTAACATAGCCCAACTTAGCTTCAACATGGCCACGTGTTGGCCGAACTTGACCCCGGGATCGGGCGAAAATGAGCTCCCAATCCCAACTCCCGAGGAGACGTTACAAATTTGAAGACATAGTCCTGCTCCTTGTAATCATGCCGACGAGGAGACACGCGCCTCCCTCTCAGAGACGAACCGCATTTTTTGAGGGCTCTCTAAATCATGCTGGGCCCCATTTCAGAGGAGACAGACGTACCTCCTTGTGCATACAGCAGGAGACACGCGCCTGCTTATTTTACGTTATAAATTTGCAGACATGGTCCCGTGCGAAACACTTTTACTCCCTCTTTCTTCTCGCATCTGACCCTCCTTCACTTCTGACTTAGGAATCACAAACCTCCTTTATAACAGCATCACCCCGTGAAGCTCCATTTCACTAACTTCGGATGTTTGTGCGCGGTGTGGGCGGCTGTCGACGCGAAGCGTTTTGAATACAAAGAAGTCACGGAAAATTGTTCATATACAGTATATGTGTATATATAAAAGCCTAATATGTCATCAAATATAACAATCACGCATCATATACATATGATACGGTTACTACAACAAAATATGCAGATTTAACATAGCCGAAGAGGTATTTTAGTGTACCTCCGTGAAGGATCTGCTTGGGCTGCCCAGCCATTAGAGCATGCGGAAAAGACATGCGAAGAAGCACTTCCTAAATCACTTCACAAATCGGACTAGAGCCAAGCTCAACAGGGTCTTCTTCCCCCGGGTTTCATGAGCCTAGTTAGTGTACGTGGCAATCCTATACAGTAGTTTATCCAGTGGGACTTATGTGGATGCCTTGGCTGAATGGTGAAGGCCTTACAATATGGAGGGTTTGGTTTGGGCGTGCGGGGCTTAGTTAAGCTATACGGAGGCTTTGCGCAGGCTAGATGGAGGCCTTAATT